TGGTTTAGTGATGTGTACTGGGGGACGCCCCCCCCGCCCCGTTCCACTAACCGGAACTGCCGTCACCAGAAAAACACCACCTACGGCAGACCTGGTTTAGTGATTCTGGCCAATTTAGAGGCTCCGGGGCCCTACCACTAGCAAGGTTCCCTGGGGTCCTGGCCATACCGATCATGGTAGCGTTCGAATATCTCACCTATCACCAACAATGCTGTGCTTCAGACTCATCGATATCGTTCCCACCCGTAGTAACACATGAATCTCGACTCGAAGGGTCCACAGAAGCGCACCGAAATCCCCACCCCCTTCCCCCCGCCGTGCCACTCCACGGAAAGACAGGGAAGCGAAGAGAGACAGATGGGATATGGGATGGCAGGATGCCCGAGAGGAGGAAGAAGAAGAGGAGGAAGAGCAGCAACAGCATAATGACCGTGAGTACCGTAATCATGTCATTCAGACAAGTAGGAGAAAGGGAGGAGAAGCAAGATGAGGAGGATGCTCTTAGAACCCACCTGCTTCCGTAAGGCACCAAAGCGATCCTCGCCCCCTTCTCCCGCTCCACTTGCCCTCTTCCCCCCTCCTCCCTCCTCCCTCCTCCCCCTCTTACTACGAGGGGGAGTGGCGCTGGGACAGAGGAGCGAGCAACTCAGCGACGGGCCATCGACCGACATCCCGCCGGCAGGTTTGCTTCTTGCACGCACGATCTGCGGAGGCACGGAAGGAGAGCGCCCACTCGCACCCAGAGGCCCCCAGACGTCGCGAAAAAGCTGCAACGGGCGTTCCTTGTCGGGGGCGGCAGAGAGGGGGGTGTCCAAGAGGGGGGGTACAAACCATGACCGGCGGCATGTGCGCGGCCCAGCAGGGGGGCCAGGGACGTCATGAAACAAGAAGAGGCGCCATGAAATCTGGGGAAATATCATGGCCACCGCCATGATATCCACCCCCCCCCTGGTCACCACCCCCCTCTTTTCCGCCCCCGACCTTGGCGTGCCCACCGTTCCGGGCTCTGGAGCGATCCAAGCACCGGCCCCGAGCGAGGAGACGGCCCCGAGGACGAAGCCGAGAGCTACCGAGGGCCCAACGTCGCGGAAAGGCTGCGACGTCGGAGATCTGTGAAGGAGCCCTGGGACACACAAATCAATACACACAAATAAAATGATTCCCCATATTTTCTTATATTTTCTGGGTTTCTGTCTTCCCCCCCACTTCCCATATTTTTCCATATTTTCCTGGGACTCGACGATTAATTGTGTCTGTGTGTTTTCTCTCCTCCTGACCCTGGCCCCGCGCATATCCTGCACGCGTGGACAACGTGACTGTGCTGCCGGAATCGTGCCGGAGGGGTGCGCAGATCTCGTGGCAGCCAGCTGTGGACCGCTCGCGAGAGGGGAGCGCCCAACAAAAGTGCTGTCCTGGAAATGGAGGATCTTCTCCAAGGCTTTCTTCTCGCGCGCCTTCTGCTTCAGCCTGAATAGCTGCTCCACCATGGTCGCGCGCGCCTCCAAGTCCTGGTCGATCCTCTTGGCGAGGTCGCACGTCCATCTGCGGGGCGATACATGATAAAGTCGAGGCAATGACTAAGACGCAGTTGGTTGAAACAGTATCGGCAAGGTTTCTGGCACAACTTACCCAACGCACGGCCAACTTCGCGCGCAATTGGGCCTGCTCGGTGGAAGCCGTCGAACCAACTCTAGGCAAAAGCCAAGGCGACAACTTTCATGATCGGTGCAACTGCACAACACTGACGGAAACCAGAGACCCGGACCCCATACCTTAATGTCGATGACCGTTCATGTGACATTGGTCGAGGCCGGCCACACCCAAGTCTACGTGGCCTGTGAGCGATTCCACAGACGGTTCCCGCCGCGGCAAGGTCGAGACTGCAATGGCAGCTTGGGCCAGCCCCGCAGACTCCCACGGTCCGCGCTGTGAACGAGGGGCGACTGCAGGCTGGGAATCTGGGGCCGGCGTTCCTTGCCGTCGCTCGGACGTCCATTTCCCGTGCATTTTTCGATGTCGTGCGTGTTTTGTTTTGCTCGATGGTCCAGGATGGTCCTCGAGGGTCATCGCCGAGAAAAAAATGCACACGTCCGAGCGATGCCAAGATTCTGGCGGGATCTCGAGCGCACGCCAGGTCGCCCGTGCCCGTCGAGCCCCTTGCGCGCCCGAGGGTCGCGCGGCGCGCGCTCTACAGGAACTCCGCGGCCTCGGACTGCGGCCCCCGAAGAGCGTCACTTCTCAGCTCAGAACGCGAAACGCGGCCATCTTCGCGACCCTTCGGATGGCCTGCGATGAAAGAGAGCAGGCGACCCTCGAAGCCAGATGGGCTGCCAAACCCGCGCCGCGCCTCTTGGGCTAGCGTTGTACCTTGCAATTGCCGGAGCCTGGCCTGGGAGGGCCCCCGTCTTGCTCCAGCCTCCGACCTCAGCGATGGGACTGTGGGGGGCCAAAGGGCTGCAGAAGCTGCCGGGTCATGAGGCCCAGCGCCTGGTGCACGCCTGCTGCGAAGGGCGCCCCGATGCGCGCCGCCCTGTGAGGCCTCCAGGAATCTCCAGAGCTGGGCGTACTGGGGGCGAGGAGGGGGAGGATGAGGAGGAGGAGGAGGAGGAGGAGGAGGAGGAGGAGGAGGAGGAGGAGGAGGTTGAGGAGGAGGAGGAGGAGGAGGAGGAGGAGGAGGAGGAGGAGGGGTCTCCACGGGCCTCTGGGGGTCCACGGAGGTGTCCCGACGTCTCCGCGGAGGTCTCTGGAGGCCGAGGAGCACGAAGGCGGCCACGGGGGGCACCTCGTGAAGTTGTCCGTCTCCGTCGCGGTGGCGGACTTGCCCTCGGAGGACGAGGACGAGAAGCACGACTTCAGGGACCTGGTCGACGAGGGCGCGGACTGCTGCACGGCCTGCTCCTGGCTCGGCGCGCGCAGTTGGAGCGCTGTCAAGATGGGGTGGCCCGCGAGTCAACGAGGACCGCCCCCCTCCCCCGTCCCGACCTCTTCTACGCAGACGGCTCCTGTACCCCACAATCATGCCTGATGCACGGGCAGAGCCCTGATGGGCAGTGGTGCGGTGCGTACACCCTCCTGGCCGAGGCCGGGACGGTCTATCCTTCGGGGATCTTCTGACCCGGGTCAATCCAGACCCGGGTCAGTCAGGCCTTGCAGAATCCTGCCAATGCAACCCTGGCCCTGCAGGATCCTGCAAGATCGGGCGTTCTGGCTGACCCCCGTTTGTTGCACTGACCCCCGTCTCAAGGCTCCCGATATCCTGAGGCAGGGAATGGCTCTGGCCAGGCACGGCTGTGGTGTATAGGGGCCCTCTGCGGATCTTCCTCCTCGTCGCCCTCCTCTTTCATTGGGGAGCGCACGCGGTTCGCACAGCTCTACGCGCCGTTGTCCAGAAGGAGGAGCCAAGAGAAGGCTGGACCCTTCTGCCAGAGCGTCGGCTAGGAGGGCAGACCATAACCAGCCTGGTGACTCCCCTGCTCGAATCAACAATTCCCTCTTGTCGGGCAGGTCGTAAATTATCAGTGCGGCCCCTACCAAATAATCACCTTCATCCCGCCGGGCTTCTCCTGTTTCCCTTCCATTCCACGATCCGTTCTGGAGAAGATCATGGGCTAGCCGTGGGGCACCTTTCATGATCCGTCCCGGGAGAAACCATGAGCTAGCCATGGGGCAACTATGAGCGATCTTGCTGTAGTCAATAAGGAAGGCCGCCTCCTCCTCCTTCATCCCTCATCTGGTCCCCTACTCCCACTTCCCTTCCTTCTACTCCTCTTTCCTCATCCTTCTCCTCCCTCGGACTCCCTCTTACTGAACCCTCTGGTCTGGCATCCGTCCCTCTTCCTCCTCCCAATCCTTATTCCTTCTCCCTCGATATCATCCTTCTCCGTCCCTTTCCCCACGCGACGTTTCATGAGTAGGTCTGGCAACCTCATGGCGTTTGCCGACAGCAAGGCGAGTGCTATGAGCACGATGCGCGACACTGAGGCGGTCATCGCAGCCCAGCCATGCGCGGCCTGAAGACACAGCTGGACAGCCAGTAGATTATGCAGGCTACCTGTGACACACCAAGCAGAAGTCCTGATCGACTACCCTAGAAATTCGCTGGCCCAACGGGCCAAGGGCATGCTAAGATATCTGGTGACTGGTTAACAATATTCTAGTTCGCGCGCGCGCGGGGCCGCCCCTGGGGGTCCCCGGACGAAAAGTACCCCGGCAAGGTCCCGGCAAGTCCCTGCAAGGTCCTGGCAAGCTCCCAGCAAGTCCCGGCAAGATCCCGGGCAGGTCCCGTCCAGGTCCCAGCAGGCTTCCAAGAGCGTTCCAGGAGCGCTTCAAGTGGCCTCCAAAAGAGCTCAACGTGGCCCGAGACGGCCCAAGAGCGATCCAAGACGCCAAAGATGACCTCCAGACAGCCCAAAGCGCCTGCAAGACGCCACTGGAGGCCTCGAAGAGACCTCCCGAGAGGGCCCACAGAGGCAGAAATGAGTGAACTTCCTTAAGTTTTTGAATGGTTTTGGCGTTCTCGCTTTTTCGGCTTCCCGGCGTCTCAAGACGACCCAAGAGGCTTCCAAGACCGCCCCAAGACGTCCCACGAAGCCTCCAAGAGGGCCCCAAGACGCTGGCCCGAAGACATCCCGAGAGGCGCCCAAGACGACCCAAGACCGCCCCAAAACGGCCCCAAGAGGAGCCCAAGAAGGGGGCCAGGAACCGAAAAGTCCAGCCTTCTTCAGCCCCAGGAGGCCCCAAGGAGGCTCCAAGAGGCCCCACGGCCTCAAGAAGTCCCAAGAGGCCCCTAAGAGGCCCCAAGAGGCGGCCCCAACACGGCCTCGAAGAGGCCTCAAAACTGCCTCCCAGAGGCCCCTGAGAGGCCAACCACGTGAGCCCAACCAACATCCATGAGGCCTCTGACCCACCACCCACTGCCTCCGAAACATGGCAGCCGCCCAAACGCACCGGATCAACAATTACTCACTGCGTGGAGCTCCCCAGATGTGCATCTCATGTTTTATGTCATGCCGTGGTGAGCGTCTGTTCATGAGCGGTCGACTACAATAGCGCGTCCACGTGGGCGACAGGGCCGACGAAGACGAGTGACCCCTGATGCGAGTGATTGCGTATGAGTGGGATATGTAAGACGAGCGTTTAGCCACACAAGGCCATAAGTGCATGTCATGTTGGAGGATAGTGCCACGAGAAACAAGCAAACCGCCTGAGACATCCCCACAAAATGGCCGCGAACGAGCCCGTGCAACCACCCCTGGCGGCTCCCCTTAGGGGTGCTGAAACCAGCGCCCCGCCTGAGACATCCTCACAATCTGCTCTCCAAGCGAAGGATGTTGAGCCCAGAAACAAGCAAACCGCCTGAGACATCCCCACAAAATGGCCGCGAACGAGCCCGTGCAACCACCCCTGGCGGCTCCCCTTAGGGGTGCTGAAACCAGCGCCCCGCCTGAGACATCCTCACAATCTGCTCTCCAAGCGAAGGATGTTGGGCCCAGAAACAAGCAAACCGCCTGAGACATCCCCACAAAATGGCCGCGAACGAGCCCGTGCAACCACCCCTGGCGGCTCCCCTTAGGGGTGCTGAAACCAGCGCCCCGCCTGAGACATCCTCACAATCTGCTCTCCAAGCGAAGGATGTTGAGGCCCAGAAACAAGCAAACCGCCTGAGACATCCCCACAAAATGGCCGCGAACGAGCCCGTGCAACCACCCCTGGCGGCTCCCCTTAGGGGTGCTGAAACCAGCGCCCCGCCTGAGACATCCTCACAATCTGCTCTCCAAGCGAAGGATGTTGGGCCCAGAAACAAGCAAACCGCCTGAGACATCCCCACAAAATGGCCGCGAACGAGCCCGTGCAACCACCCCTGGCGGCTCCCCTTAGGGGTGCTGAAACCAGCGCCCCGCCTGAGACATCCTCACAATCTGCTCTCCAAGCGAAGGATGTTGGGCCCAGAAACAAGCAAACCGCCTGAGACATCCCCACAAAATGGCCGCGAACGAGCCCGTGCAACCACCCCTGGCGGCTCCCCTTAGGGGTGCTGAAACCAGCGCCCCGCCTGAGACATCCTCACAATCTGCTGTGTGTTGAGTAAGTCTCAGACTATGAGTAAGTCTGAGTATGAGTACGCCTGGGTATGAGTAAGTCTGAGTATGAGTAAGTCTGAGTATGGATATGTCTGAGTGTGAGTAAGTCTGAGTATGAGTACGTCTGGGTATGAGAATGTCTGAGTATGAGTAAGTCTGAGTATGAGTAAGTCTGAGTATGAGTAGGTCTGAGTATGAATATGCCTGAGTATGAGTATGTCTGAGTATGAGTAAGTCTGAGTATGAGTATGTCTGAGTAAGAGTAGGTCTGAGTATGAGTAGATCTGAGTATGAGAGTATCTGAGTATGAGTAAGTCTGTGCATGAGCAAGTCTGGGTATGAGCAAGTCTGAGTATGAGTAACTCCGACAGGAGGGGAGGAGGAAAGAGGAGGAGGGAGAGTGAGTAGGAGGCGTCCAAGTAATAACAAGAACCCCATCTTAGGATATGCGGAACAACACCCTGACAAACGACAGCGGCGAGGCAATACGGGCCGGCGGAATGAGCGAAGCGATTCAATAAATGGTCTGGGAACATGACATGGGGGCCCGTTCTCTATTACACTGGCATCCCGTCGCCTGATCTGGAAACACTCACAGTTATAATGCTGAAACGGCACACGTCGTTCATTTCTAATCGTGCTCATTTCTAATTGTGCTCGTTTCTAAGTGTTCCTGGCCCCCTAGTGGCTAGGAAGAGGCCCAGGATATAATAATCAGGAATGAAAGGATCTTGGCCCCCAAAAAAATCAAAGAACTTTCGAAGAATGAGAAATGAGCGATGTGTACTTGTCGAACGCGCGACTCTTCACACTTCAGTGTGTCACAGGGTGCGGTTCCTGGGCCGTCGGACCTTCGAGCCACGTCGGCGCAGCCCTGGGCACATGCCCGATCGATCTGCTCACACGGATGATGCGCGCGCGTGCCAGACCCTGAAAGTCAGCAGAACAGCTCGCCGTGCGTAGAGCTCGGGCTTGCAGTGGCGCCAAACATCTGCAGTGGTCCAGGAAACCTTTGGATCCGCTACCGGGTTAGAACAGCGTACCAGACGTACAGAGGCACCTAGAAAAGGATCGCTTTCCGCACCACCATGTGTCAAGGCTACGAGTCGAAAAGTCGTAGACAACACGACTCTGACACCGCACGGGGCCTGGCAAGGCGAACTCGAACCAGGCCTCTGACCATGCTGCTCTGCTTCTCTGCTTCTCTGCTTCTCCTCCCTCCTCACTCCTCACTCATCCCTCCTCCTCCTCCTCCTCATCCTTATTATTATTACTCTTATTATTATTATGATTACTATTATGATGATGATGATTATTATTATTATGAATATTATTATTATTCTTAATACTATCATTAATATCATTAGTATCGCGATTATGATTACGATTATGAATATTATTATTCGTATTCTTATCATTCGTGCCATTGTTTATTCTTATTCGCATTATCATTCTTATAAGTATGCTTCGTATTAGTATTATTACTATTATTGTTATTAAAATTAGTAGTATTACTATTTGTAATCGTATTATTACTACTAAATTATTGTTCTTATTATTATTATGTAGTAGTAGTAGTAGTAGTAGTAGTAGTAGTAGTAGTAGTAGTAGTAGTAGAAGTAGTAGTAGTAGTAGTAGTAGTAGTAGTCGTAGTAGTAGTAGTGGTGGTGGTGGTAGTAGTAGTAGTAGTAGTAGTAGTAGTAATAGTAGTAGTAGTAGTAGTAGTAGTAGTAGTAGTAGTAGTAGTAGTAGTAGTAGTAGTCGTCCATTATCTCCCTCCTGCTCTTGCTCTTCTTCCTCCTCCTCCTCCTCCTCCTCCTCCTCCTCCTCCTCCTCCTCCTCCTCCTCCTCCTCCTCCTCCTCCTCCTCCTCCTCCTCTCCTCCTCCTCCTCCTCCCCCTCCTCCTCCCCCCTCGCCCCTCCCTCCTCCCTCCTCCCTCCTCCCCCCTCCCTCCTCCCTCCTCCCCCTTTCCCCCTCCCCACTCCCCACTCCCCGCTCCCTCCTCCCCCCTCGCCTCTTCCCCGAGCGAGACGTGGAGGCGCGCGCGCGCTCGCCCTCCCGTCCCGACCTCTGCCGCCCGCCCCCTTCCCGGCCAGTGGCCCCCCTCGGTCCTCGCGCGAGGGCTCGGAGGGGATCAGCCGCCGGATCACGCCTCGAGGGGCGCAGGGGCGGGGGGGCGGGAGGGAGGGAGGGATCTCGACGCCGCTCGCCCGTCTGGCTGGTGGGCCCTCGTCGCCGCGGCCGGGCTCGCCTCGAGATTCTGGGCGGGGGGCGCTCCGGGGACACGGGGCGGCGTCCGCTCCCAGAAGCTTCTGGACGTCTTTGACCCCCCCTGGGCCCCTGGAGGCCTCGGGACTCCCATCAGGGGGCTCGAGGAGCCTCCGCAAGCCAGCCGAGGCCCCTGGTGATCTCCAGAGGCCTCCGGTGGGGAGCAGGGGGAGGGGGGCGTGATGGGGGAGGCGAGGAGGGAGGACATTGCTGGAACCGGCCGCAAGACGCAACGAAACTGGAAGACCCTGCCGCCACGGCTTTTTCCAGTCGGGGGGGGCCTGGAACACACGACCGCAGCGGCTCAACTTTGCGGTTGATGGTCAAAGGAGACCTGTCAGACTGGACTCCACCATGCTAGACCTGGCCGCAGAGGAGGACTAGGACTACGAGCAGGAGGGAGGAGGGAAGGGGAGGGGAGAGGAGGAAGAGGAGGAAGAGGAGGACGAGGAAAAGGAGGAGGACGAGGAATGATGGGGGAGGAAGAGGACGAGGCGGAGATGGAGGAGGATGCAGGGCGCGCTTACATCTTACCTCTTGGGGCTCAAAGGGCCTCCTTTTTCCCCAGAGGGGCCAAAACATGATATGTAGGAGCCGACAGCCAGCTGAGATCTCAGCGACATGGGGAGACAGCGCAGAAGACCCGGCCACGAGCCGCAATCGGCTGAACACAGGCTTCACAGCAGCACCGTGCTCTGAGAACGGGCGAAAAACATCACAACATAGAGAGAGGTGGAGGGGACGAAGGAAGTAGACTTGAGCCGCAAACCAGCGGCCATGACTCTCGCGCGCACCCCTATGCCCTTCGCAGAAGATCGCTCTGCATGGCGAGCTTACGTCTAACCGCTTGGGGCTCAAAGGGCCTCCTTTCTCCCCCGAGGTGCCAAAAAATGATATGCAGGAATCGACAGCCAGCTGAGATCTCAGCGACATTGGGAGACAGCGCAGAAGATTCGGCCACGAGCCGCAATCGGCTGAGCACAGGCTTCACAGCAGCACTGGATCCCATTCTATGCCCTGACCGCCAGGCCGTCTTCAGAGGGCAGAGAAAAGACCTCAATGGCCAGAAACTTCGTTCAAACGATCGGCTTCGATGGCCCCAGCGGAGGCCCACAACCACGAAGCCCCAGCCGAACACAGTGCTGTCGGGTAGGGCTCGGCGCGGGAGGTCCATTTTTGAGCTGACCCCGGGATCGCGCCAGAAAGCTGGACGCGGGCCCCACCAGAAGAATCACACATCTCTCGGCATGAGGGGCAAAGACGAGAGAAAGAGGGGGGAGCCAGCTGGAGGTACCAGGCAATGTTTTTGCGCGCTTTCTCCAGGGCACCTTGAACTGGCAAAAATGAAACACGTAAGCTCGACAGGTAGGATGAATGGCAAGTTTCTTCATGTTAGGAGTGAACCAGGCTAAACAGCTGCTGGGATTCCCGGCGACCACGGGGACCCCGCCACGGATGCACGAGCCGACAATCCGGCACGTGCCGAGGAGGGAACGGTTGCCCGCCAGGGCCCTCTCGAGCCCGACGGGGTCCAGGTCGGGTCGCCCAAGAAGGTCAGAGTGGGTTCGATGCCGCCAGCGCGAGGCAACGCTCCAGGTGAAACGGGGAGAGGCCAGCCAGACTCCGCGGATCAGCTTGCTGCTGACCCACCCGGCGGCGATCAGATCCACGACCGCGGGACTGTTGAGGTTAAAGGCAGGCTCAGCTTTGAGGTCGGCCTCGATGACCCCCGCCCACCGCGCTTGCGAAGCCCGCGGGATATGCCCCCAACTCCAGAGAACAAATCAAAGAAGACTTGGCCGTTGCGGGGTGCAGTGGCGGTGGCGCCCGTAAAGGCCTGAGACCATGCACTGTGAATGGCGCCCCTGCTCAGACGAGTCGAGGCGTCGAGAGTGTCTCCAGCCTCCCAGACGCCCGCGCCGCGGGCGGCGGCGCTCAGCCCCTGTGCCCCGGCGGCGCTGGGGAGCACAGCCGCCCGCAGAAGAGATCGGCTAGGTTAGCCTCGACCCACTCGCCGACGCCGTCACCTCGAACGGCAACTTCTCGCACTCGGCCAGGTGGCAAGTCCCCTTTCGGCACCGCCGCGCGCTGGGCTCGCTCAGGTGCCTGAGCCGCTCTTGGATTGCCCCGAACTCCCTCGCCTTGAACAGCGCGTCGTGGAAGGCGGCTCCGTGGCGGACCTGGCGCGGGCGGGCGCCCTCGACCCCTGCCAGCCTGGCGCGCTCGACGAAGTCCCGGCGGAACTTGGGCCCCGAGAACGGCCAGAGGGGCTTGTCCGCCTGGCTCCGAGCCTCCAGGGCCTTCTGCGCGAAGCTGACGCTCTGGGCGGCGTCCGACTCCAGGACCATTCCCTCGTCGAAGTGCCCCGTCTTGCTCCTGTTCGGCAGCTCTTCGGGGAACGGCAAGATGGCCCATCGGTTGATGCGGCCCCGCAGGGCCGGGGCCGCCAGGGAGCCACCCGCCATGCCAATCAGGTCGCCGGGCAACCTGAGGCACGCGCCCCGGACGACGAGAAGGCCGAGGCAGAAGTCGAGCCAGCCGTGGAACACGCCGGCCCCGATGATCGGGAAGACGCCCTGCTTGGGAAGAGGCTTGCGGGCCCGACCCGGCGCCATCCGCTCGAAGCCCTCCAGCGCGGCCCGGCTGCCCTCCAAGGCCCCCGGCCGCTTCAGCCCCTGGCTGGGGTGGAAGATGAGAAGAAGAGGACAGCGGCCAGCGTCTTCTCGCCTCGGCCCCGGTTCCAGCCGTCGAAGCACAGGTGATCCAGGTAGCTGGCGAGGGACACGTTCGGCGACCGTGGTGGTCCCCCCCCCTCCTCCCGACTCTAGTCCAGGAAGTTGGTGCAGGCCCGCTGGTACTGCAGCTGCGTGGAGCGCCCCGCCCGAGCCGTCCGCGGGAAGGTTTTTTTCCCCCCCCCCCTTTGAAACGTATCGGCCCGCGGTTGCACTGAAGTTGTGTTCAAGCCCCTGCTAGGTGGCCCAAACGGCCACGCTAATAAATTCGACACAACATAATGCAAGGAGGGGAAGGAGGAGGAGGAGGAGGAGGAAAGACAAAAAGAGAAAAGTGCCGAAGCTCGCACGAGCCGTCCGCGGGAAGGTGGGGCCCTCCTCGGCGGCTCTGGGAGCTGCAGGCCAGCGCCGGCCGCGAGCGGCCGCGCGCCGAGCCTGCAGCGCGGAAGCTCGCTCCACCCTCTCGGCCCGAGCGGGCCGCCTGCTGCGAGGGCCCGCCGCTGCGGGGGCTGCCGGGGCCGGGGCTGCCCGAGCGACTCGAAAAGGTCGCTGAGCTGGCGCGGCCACTGCAACTATGGCCGACCGACTCGACGTCGCAGCGGGCAAGCCACCATTTGTGAAGCTCTTGCATGTTTGTGCAACGAATGCGCGCGGCGCTAAAGCGATAACCACAGGTTGAAAACCAACCGCCCTCAATCCGAGAATCCTTTGAAATTTGTTGGGGCGAATGTGCGCGGCGCTCAAGCGAGAGCCGCATTTTGAAAACCACCCGCCCTCAATCCGTGAAGCTCTTCTATCTTATGTTAACAACTGTGCGCGGCGCTCAGGCGAGAGCCAAATCCTGAAACCCACCCGCCCTCCATTTGTGAAACGCTTGCCAACTTCTGAGCTTCAGCATCATAGAAGGTGAGAAAGTCTCAAGCGCAACGCCTCGCCCGCCCTTTCGACCGGCCTCGGGGTGCGACAAGGAATAAAGGGAATGGGCGAGGAAGCGGTAATAAAACAGGGCTAGGATCGGAATAAATCGCTCCAGAGCGTTCCGGAGCGCTCTCAGAGCGTTCCGGAACGCTCTGGAGCGGCCGCGGCGCCCAATACATCCTCCAAACCCGCCGATTCTCAGAGATTTCGAGTTATCCCGATCCGATTTTGTCCCGATCTTCGCGTCGTTTTAGGAATGGGTGAGGAAGCGGTAAAAGCAAAAGGGGGGATCGGGAAGCGGCGGCGTGGCCCAGGCCGGCCCGGAGAGCACAGGAGGGGGGGTTAGCGCCCGCGCCTCCGTGCTCCGAGCGCCGCACGAGGTCGTCCCAGTGGTTTCGGCCCGGGCTCCGCAGCAGCGCGTTGGAGTAGGAAGTGCTGGACGAGACCTCCGGAGGGGGGGTTGGGGGCGGAGGGGGGGTGGGGGCGAGGGAGGAGGGCGGACACAGAAAAAGGGAGGAGGGAGGGAGGGAGGTGGGAGGGAGGAAGGAGGGAGGAACATGAGGATATTTAAGGAGGATGCGGAGGATGAGGAACAAGAGAAAAGAAAGGAGGGAGGAGTGAGGGAGGAGGGAGTAAGCGGCAGGGGGAGCAGGAAGAGGGGGAGGGAACAATGGAAGGAGGAGGAGGAGGAGCAGTGAGGAAGGATAAAGGGAGGAGGAGCAAGCGGGAGAAGTGATGAGGAAAATGAGGAGGAAAGGAGGGAGGGAGGAGGAGTGAGAGAAGAGAAGGAGGAAGAGGAGGAGGAGGAGAATAACTAGAATAGGAGGAGGATGAAAAGGACGAGGAAGAGGAGGATAAATCTGCCGATCTGGCGTGCGAGTTTAAGAAAGCGCGGGCTTGAGCTGAGCTTAATCTCGGCTCTGGAAGGGGAGGGGGGCGTGCAACGCTTGTGCAGCACTCTCTGGGGGAAACCCGTCCGCGCTCTGGGAGGGGGGGGGGGGCCTGCAGCGCTTGTGCAGCACCTCCTGGGGAGCCCTGCCCGCTCTGGGAGGGGGCCGTGCGGGCCCGCTCTGGGAGAGGGGGGTGGGCGCGCGGCGCCGCGAGTCCCAGGGGGGCCCTGTCCGCTCTGGGAGGCGAAAAAGGAGAGCTCCGCTCTGGGGGGGGGGGGGGAGGGGCCGTGCAGCGCCTTCGGGGGATACTCCTGTCCGCTGTGGGAGGGGGGGGTCCCTTCAGCGACCCTGGCCGCTCTGGAAAGGGGGAGGAGGGTCCTCATCGCTATCGACGTCATCGTCGACGTGATCGTCTTCGTCATCGTTCTCAGCCGTCGCTCGCTCTCGAAAGTCGTCGCCAATTGTCGTTCATCGTTGGCCGTCCGTTATCGACGTCGTCTTCGATTCTTGCTCGCATCCAGAACGCCCCGGATCGGCGGCACTGGCCAAAGGCCATTACAATACGAGGGTGAGCAATGATGAATGGTGAATGGGCTTTTGTTGTCATTTGCTGACAACTTCCGCAAAAGTCCTGCTGAGGTGACGAGGCACGGTGCGCAGTCAGTAGGCCTCGCCCACCGATTGAATGTTGACGAAGCGATGGGTTGAGTCTGCCGGCTCTGGGATCAGCCAGTGCACGAGATTGTTTTGATTTGCTCCCCCGTGGCAGGATAGCTCTGCGTGGCCCAACTCCAGAACATAGCACATATGTCCAACAGGCCAGGATGCGCAAACGAATCGCAACACGCACACATACCCACACACACACACACACACACTTTGCTGGCGGTAGCGGCCTCGCGAGCAGCGAGGGGGCGGAGAAATTGCAACTTGCAGCACAATGCGAGCGACAACACACACGCACGCACAAAGACACACACACACATGCACACACACACACACCCATGTTTGCTTGGCGTCGGCGGCTAAGCATAATGACTGCGCTGCCGGAATAAGCATATGTAGGGCGAGTTCAGCCGCGATGCGCGTGGGGGGGAGAGGAGGAAGTCCGGGCGCGGGCGGGAGGGAGAGGAGGCCGGGCCTGCTCAGAGTGGGGACGCACGCACACACACACACACACACACACACACACACACACGCATACACACGCACACACACACACACACACACACGCACACACGCATACACACGCACACACACACACACGCACACACGCACACACACACACACGCACACACGCAAATGCAAACACGCACACACACGCACACAAACACACGCATACGCGCACACATATGCGCACAAGCACGCAGTCACGCACGCACGCATGCACGCCCGCGGGCGCCCCCCCCAAACACACAAACACACACACACACACACGCGCGCACACACACAGACACAGACACAGGCACAGACACAGACACAGACACAGACACAGACACACACACACACACACACACCCGCACGCACGCACGCACGCACGCACGCACGCACGCACGCACGCACGCACGCACGCACGCACGCACGCACGCACGCACGCACGCACGCACGCACGCACGCACGCACGCACACACGCACGCACGCACGCACGCACGCACGCACGCACGCAAGCATGCACGCCCGCGGGCGCGCCCGCCACCGCCCCCCACCCCCCTCCTCAGACACACGCGCACACACACACACACAAACACGCACACACACACACACACGCACACACACACACACACGCGCACACAAACACACACTCTTGTGTCGTCGCGTTCCTGCGCGCAGCGACAGGGCGGAGAAAGTCTTGGAACAGCAATCGCGCGGGCGCGTATATATTTTCCTATCGAAGGCGCCATCGATGAGGATGTAGGGGTGGGGGCACTGTCAGAGGACGCAGGTAAGGAGGGGAAGGAAGAAAAGGGCCCTCGGCTAGCTCCCCGAACCACTGCCGCAAGTCGTCGCATGACTCCGCGCAAGACAGATCCAAGGTTGGGGGGCGGCGCAAATTTGCGAGGAAAGTCTTGGACTGCTGGGCAGCGAAGGCCACCCTGGCCTTCCTCCCAGTGGGCACCCTCCTGTAGTAGGACGCGTCATTGACAACTTGCCGAGGGGAAAAAAACATGTGATAACGGCTGGCCTGGAGACCAGCGCGCTCCGCGAACTCAGCGAAGGACCGGAGTTGGGCGTTTGTGTTGGCTTGGGCTTAGGCCATGACAGGGTTCCAAAGGATAATGCAGACCCGCCTGGCGAGCGTCAGAGCAACGTTAAAACGGCGGGGACTCTCGGGGCGCCCGAAGTGGAAGTTGCCGTTGGAACGCGCGCAGGTGATGACGATCAGGTCGGCATTGGCCCCTTGCATCTGGTCAGCGGCGCGGAGACGGACGCTGGGCAACTTGCCTTTCATCCCAGGGAAAGAGGCGGATGGAGGGAGGACAGCGTCCGACGACAGGGCGCTGGGACGCCCAGGCGTAAACATATCAACACGCAAAAGGGAAAATAAGGGGCAGCAGCACGTAAAGTCCGCCATGCAGGCGCGGGGTGGCAAGGCGGATTGCCCCCCCCCCCCCCCCTCGCAAGGGAAAAGGCGCGGCAGAATCCACCCCGCTCTGCCAGCTGCTAGCGGGGGGAACAGGAGAGATCAATGCCAGCGGGGGGACAACAGGCGGATGGGCAACAGCAGCCCGAGGGATAACAGGCAAAGGGATACACCATGACGTGGGGCAACAGGCTGCGGGACAACAGCGCGCGGGATAACGGGGGCCGTCGCGGCGCCCGGCCGGGCGGCCGTCGCCGCGCCGGGCCGGGCGCCCGGCCGGGCGGCAGAACTTCCATCCCCCCAGGCAGCGCAGCACCGCGCAAGAGCCACCGCCGCCGATGGACCAACGCAGGCGAGCGATAACCAGAGCTCAGACCACGCGCGCGACGAAGGCGCCGTGGCCCAGGAGCACCAGACAGCGGCGCGGGCTCGCGCTGGCCACTTGAATCGGGCTCTGGCCACCGAGATGCGCGCGGGCGCGCGGCGCGCGACGAGGGGTCAGCTCGCGCCCGCCTAGAGGGGCAGACGCGCCCGCGACGCGCCGGCATAGCAGCGCCGCCCCCGCAGAGGCGCGCGTCTTCCAAGTCACCGAAGCTGGCAGGGCGAGCGCCGTCCGCAGGGTTCACCGTGCCCAGCGTCGGGCGTCCGGGATCCGATCGGCGCGCGAGCGGCGCCCCTGCGGGATGGCGGCGTCGGCTGACGTCGAAAACGGCGGGGTTTGGGGCCGAGCTCCACGCGGCGCAATAGCGCGAGCGCGTCTGCGCAACGGAATCAGCCACCCCCAGGGGCGAGGAGTGAAATCAATAATTTCCACGATTACCCGTTCGCAACTCGCGCCAGAGTGGGCGGCGGCGGCAAGAAGCCAGCGGACCGAGCTGCGAAGCTCCACGCGAGGGGGGCTCTCTAGCAGCATCGCCCTCGCTTTCGCCCGGCGCGAAATATGCGGTTAAAGATCGCGAAACGCCCCGGCCGACTGGGGCAGAAAGACGACTTTCGCAGCGATGGCGACCGCTAGGGCTCGAAATGGCAGTGCATGCTCGGCCCGGATCCTCTGGTAGCCATCTCTCGCTCTCTCTCTCTCTCTCTCTCTTTCTCTCTCTCTATATATATATCATTATATATATATATATATCATCTCTCTTTGTTTTTTTTGGGGGGTATCTCTCTCTCTCTCTCTTTCTTGTTTGTTCTCTCTCTCTCTCTTTCTCTCTCTCTCTCTCTCTCTATCTCTCTTTTTTGTTATCCCTCTCTCTCTCTATATATAGTTATGCCTACACATATACACGCATCTGTGTATGTCTGTATGTGTGTACATATATGTGTAAACCAAATCCGTTCCGTGGAGATTGTGCAGTCAAGTAGCGGCCCTCCTCTGGCGCCCGCGCAGGGCCCGAGCTCCCTGCGGCGCAATAGCGCGAGCGCGTCTGCGCAGCGGAATCGCCCACCCCCAGGGGCCAGGAGGGAAATCAACAACTTTCACGCTTACCTGTTTGCACCTCGTGCCCGAACCGGCGGCGGCATGAAGCCAACTGACCAAGCTGCGAAGCTCTGTGCGAAGGGAACTCTCTAGCGGCATCGCTCTCGCTTTCGCCTGGCGTGAAACATGCGGTTTAAAGATCGCGAAACGCCCCAGCCCACTGAGACGGTGAGACTACTTTCGCAGCGACGGCGGCCGCTCAAAGTAAAAATGATCATATTTGCGCGGCCCGGATCCGCTGGTCTATATCAGCCAAGTCCGTGCCGTGGAGCTTGTGGCGCAATAGCGCGAGCGCGTCTGCGCAACGGAATCACCCGCCCCGAGGGGCGAGGAGGGAAATCAACAATTTCCAAGCTTACCCGTTTGCAACTCGCGCCCGAGTGGGCGGCGGCAAGAAGGTAACTGACCGAGCTGCGAAGCTCTGCGCGAGGGAAACTCCCTAGCGGCGTCGCTCTCGCTTGCGCCTGACATGAAACATGTGGTTAAGGATCGCGAAGCGCCCCGGCCCACTGAGACGGTGAGACTACTTTCGCAGCGACGGCGGCCGCTCAGAGTCAAAATGATAATATTTGCGCGGCCCGGATCCTCTGGTCTATATCAGCCAAATGCGTTCCGTGGAGCTTGTGTAGCCAAGTAGTGACCCTCCATCTTGCACCCACGCAGCGGCAGTCCCTGGCACAGAGGGGGGGCTGAACGCTCTGCTGAAGCGCTGTGTCCACGTCAAGACTCGACGGAGGCACAGAGGGCGGCGAAACGTTGTATCAGCTGTTTCGCCACCAGCAGCCTTTGGCAATGCAGCAGGAGGCACTGTCACCGTGCCGCCGTCACCTTTTCTGCCGCCGTCACCTTTTCTGCTTCTTGTGCACCCTCTGTTCGCGGGGGCTGTGCTCGTCGCGAATCTGCTGGGCCTTCCCACAGCATGAACGCACAACGACTGACAGTCATCGCGGAGTTGGTCGTTGAGAGCCTTCTTGCGCCGTGCAGCCTCCCCCGATCCTGAGTAGAGACCTCGCAGAGATAACCATCCTGGGCGGAGAACGAGGCCGCGCTGACAATGTCGGGCGCCTGGACCGTGCCAGACAGGAGATCCTCGACCAAGGCCTCGGGGGGCCGACTCTGCCAGCTCTTGGTAACGGCCCCGTGAGCACGTCGTCGGCCTGCTGCAAGGTTTTTCGAGCCTCCGCGGGAGCAGATTCCTTCGCCGCCAACTGGCCCCCAGCCCAGTCCACTCGTCCAGCTCCGAGCCGAGCCTCCTCTCGTAGAGTTGCAAGGAGGAGTGGGCCTTACCGGCTCGCTGCTGCACAACCAGCGGGAGCGTCGACGTTCTCGAGCCGCTCGAAGGCCGGCCTGTGGCTGGCCGCCCCTGCCTCGCCTACGGGTAGCTTTACACCCGCGGTGCAACCGCCCATGCGCGCCTGCCGCCGCGCTAGCCACTGTTGTATTTCCACCCCGCCTGCTGCTGGCCGCCGCTGCTGGCGGAGCGAAACATTGCCTTGGAAGGGCTCGGGCCATTCACAAGTCAAGAAGGTCCGCGCGCACACCGCTGTCCTCAAGCTCGCGCGCGCAATGCTCGACGTTTCGGTTCGGGACAGCTTGGAAGAGCGCGGGGGTAAAGGAGGAGGAAAAGGAGGAAAAGGAGGACAAGAAGCCAAAGATGTGTCAACGATGTTGCAATACATCCTCGTCCCAGGTCTCCGCCTCCTCATACCCCTACAAGTAAAGTATTCCTTCTCACTGCGAGAAGCGCAGCCCTTGAAAGACGAACGCCTCATGGGCAAGATATCAAAACGAGAATCCCACGTTTTAATTGAGCAGCCCTGCATCCGCGCATCTATCAGACAGTATGCGGCTTGAGGAAGGCTTAAGCGAGAGCCTCATCTTGACAAGGAGCCCCTCGCCATCGGTGTAGGTTGTTGCACAAGCGTAGGCGGCTCGACTTTTGAGATATCCGACGAAAGCCCCACTTTACAAAGGGGACGCCCTCCATGCGTATGATGAGCTGTTGCGCGAGTTTACGGGCCATGGCTTTACAGTAAGCCTGAAGCGTGAGCCAGGTCTGTCCGAAAGGGCGAAGGTCGCCAAAATCCTGGAGGACCGCGACGTCGCCATCGTCCGACAGAGCTCCACCGAAACCTCGCCCCCAGACCCCATCCTGGGGCCCACCCTGGTGGGTTTCCCCAGCGGCGCCCAGCCGCGACGACGAGAACGCCCAGCAACTCCGAGCAACGCCCAGCAATTCCAAAGCTTACCCGAAGCGGAGTCGACGCCGTCGTCGTCCGACAGAAAGCGAGTCCGAATCAGTGCCCAGGCCCGTCCCCAAGGGGCTCATCCTGCTTCGTCATCGGAGGCGCGCCCAGCCGCGGCGGCGAGAACCCCTGAGACGACCGACGGCCCCTGAAACGACCCCCACGTGGCTGCCGAGCAGGCTCGCGCGGCGCCTCCTCGTTCCGGATGCCCCCCCCCCTCGCTGCTGAGGAGGCATCCCCGCGGCACGTCTGCCCCTCTCCCCGCGCACACCGCGAGGGATCAAGGTGCCGAGGGGGCACATACAGAAATCCGCCGACCCTGTGTCGACGTGTGTGAGGGGCTTGTCCGTTCCCATCGTTCGCTCGTCGTCGTCTCCGTCGTCTCCTGTCCCTGCGCCCACCCTTCCCCTGAGCCAGTCGTCTCCTGTCCCTGCGCTCCCCCTTTCCCTGGGCCCGTCGCCCCTCATCCCATTTCCCCCTCTTCCCTGGGCCCGTCGCCGCTCCCCCCCGCTTTTCCAGGGCCTCCCCCTCAAGAGCAACGTTGTTGATCCCTTCCCTTTGATCCCTTCCCTGCAGGGGGGGGGGGCTGGGGGTGTCCCGAGGGGTGTCCCAGGGGGGGTCCTGGAAGAGGTCCCGCGTCAGATGCGACTTCCCCCCTGGGGGTCTACCACGCCCTCCATCCTCATCTCTCCTCTTTCCTCCGTGCCCCTCCAAAACCGAACCGGCCTCCTGGACGCTCGGCCACGGGACACCCCAGGACTCAGAATTCCGAGGTCCCCGGGACCCTCCAGGACCCAGCCCCGAGGAC